AAGAACTTGTGCTTATTACTCTTAGAATTGATAGAGTTATTCAAAATCTATGTCAAACTAAAGCCTAATTTTTAAATAGCTGACGGAAATCAAAATCAAATGCCACTAATGGAAAAGTAGCTTTACAAGTCTGATTCTTGAGGTTTATTTTATTTTACAGTTACTTTCAAGACTATGAGCAAATGAAGCAATGAACCCACTCAAACAAAATATAATTTTTAATGCAAGAGGCTAAAAATTTTCAATTTCTTCCAAAATTTTTAAGGATTATAAATTTGGGCTGATCTTTAGAATATGGTAACTGGTAGTTTGGTGACATTTTGGAGGCGATAAAGGTTACTAACTGGGACTTTGGTAATAATGTGAGCAGTACTCAGTTCCAATTACGCATTATTTTGAGTGAGGGAAATGAGAGATCATGGGATATGTCATGTGATATTAATGGACGAATTACGGTTCTTTAATCGGAAAAGGGGGGAATTTGGAAAAATATCTGTGGCTGTACATTATTTTGTATTAAGCTTCATTGTGTGTTGTGTGAAGTAGGGTTGAATAATTTTGGGATTGTATGGCGCTGTCTAAAGCGAATTCTAGATTTGAATGCGTTCGTGTGATAATTCAAAAGAATTGGTTGAATGGTGCATGAGTGTAGGTTTAATTCCGAGGCATTGTGATAAAGAGAATTTTGCTTTTTATTTAGGGGAGGAAGTGTGGAGGAAAAATTCGCAGAAAAAATCATTCAATAATTTTATTGAATATATAATAAAAGTGTATCCACCATGTAAGCAAGATTCTGAAGAAGATTAGGTAAGTTAGTATTTTTAATTATTTGAGGATATTATTTTTATGCATTGTTCTAAATGTAAGGTGGAAGTAAAGTAATTCGGTATTATTGGGAAAATTGTTATTAGCAATGATTTAGTTTAAAGTAATTAGGATTGTAAGCTAATTTTTATTAATTTAATGTATGTGCTTATTTATATTTAAAGTAGTGTTTTTGAATTTAATTATATTTTAATTAAATGATAGCTATTTTGTGAATTTTATGTTTGTAGGAATTTGGTATATGTTTTAGTTGAAGTAACGTGTAAGTAAACGTGCATAAAAATAATTAAAATATTTGACACTAAGTATTTGGAATATTTGCGGTATGAATTCGTTGGTGACGTGTATAATATGATAAATAATTTAGAGGTAAAAGTTTTTGGATATTTTATTTATTTTATATGTGGAAATGTTCATATTTGGAAAGGGTATATACTTTTTCGTTATTAGGTAATTTCATATATGTTCTTTTTAACGGATTTAAAGATCCAGAAAATTGTCATGCATTTTCGTGAAATTTTTCTAATTTATGAGAAAAAAGCAGTGTACATGGATATGGTGAAGAGTGTGCGCAATGCCATTTTTGTGCAATTCTGGGATTTTTTTTTTTTTTTAAGTAAAAATAAGTCGACGTGTACATGGTTTAGTGATATTTTAATTAAATGATAGTTATTTTGTGAATTTTATGTTTGTAGGAATTTGGTATACGTTTTAGTTGAAGTAAACATGCATGGAAATAATTTAAATATTTGACACTAAGTATTTGTAATGCTCGCGGTATGAATTCGTTGGTGACGTTTATAATATAATAGATGATTTAGAGGTAAAAGTTTTTGGACATTTTATTTATTTTATATGTGGAAATGTTCCTATTTGGAAAGGGTATATACTTTTTCGCGATCAGGTAATTTCATATATGTTCTTTTTACCGGGTTTAAAGATTCAGAAAATTGTCATGTATTTTCGTGAAATTTTTCTAATTTATGAGAAAAAAGCAGTGTACATGGATATAGTGAAGAGTGTGCGCAATGCCATTTTTGTGTAATTCTGGGATATTTTTTTTAAGTAAAAATAAGTCTATGTGTACATGGTTTATGTGTATGTGTTATTTTGAAAAACGCGTAAGGAGTATGGTATTGTGCATTTTTTCCCAATTTTGCAGTGAATATTTGTCATGATTAAGAAGTTTTGTTAGATAAAATTTCTAGCATAAGTGTAATTCGGCTAGTAGATTGTTGGAAGAAGTGTTCAGTAGATAAAAAGAAAAAAAAAAAAAAAACATGTCTTTACTTCGTGAAGCCAAAATGGCGGCGGGGAAAAAAATAGAGGGTTGCTGTAGGAGAGTTGGTCGCCAAATTTTCGCCAAAAAATCGCCAAGTTACCATAATCTAAAGATCAACCTAAATTTGTTTGGGTGTGATATTATTTAGTAAAGCCTTGATGGAAAAAAACATAATTTTGTAATTTATTCATATGCTCATTTACAAAGCAGATAAATAATTTAATCACATTAATTTGGGTTTTAAATTTGTAATGTCATTAAGGTTTGTAAGAAAAGAAATAAAAAGTCTTTAGGTCCTTTCCTTTTACTTTCTTCCTTTTTTTCCCCAAGTTTCTCACTGGGGGGAAGGGGGAACAGGAACTTAATTTAAAACATAGAAATGGTATTCCCTTATTAATGCAGCAATAGTAGTTTTTTTGCCGAAATTGACAAACTTAACACATTGACTGCCGCGCGCATTTTACGTGGTCTGCCCACGAAGCCAACTTGAAATTTTTACTATGCAATGTATATTATGTTGAAATATAATCTACAGAAGATAATTTGAGTTATATAATCATGTTTAATGCATTTTTCGTGGTGGGAGTTACTGGTGACCCCTCAAGGCTCTGTAGACCATTATTGCAATTTCTAATTTAAATTTTTATGATTTATTATTCTTCAAACCATTATAGTAACGATGGTACTATTTAAAAATTTATCAGTATTGATATTTACTCTAATTGAGTATTTTACTATTGGTCGCACCACGGCCAGTGGCACCCACAGCACTGTAGCCAAGTCTAGTGCCGGTCCCTGGTGATCCCCCGCGGCAGTCAACGTGTTAACTGCCAAATCTAAAACAAGCAAATTTTATACATCACCAAAGGACTTACAAGAGCCAGTTTTATGAGGAAGTATTATGTATGCTTGTATTTCATATAACATTAAATCCTTTCAACCCTAGACTTTTTCAAGCATGCCAAAAAATGAAAAAAATTCTATAAAATAATATTTATATATGTTAGAGCACCCTTGCAACATATTTACAAGTCCCTACATGAGTTGTAGAAACTAGTATGCCTTAGAAATTGCCACCATCAGGTCTTGAAGTAAATAGCTGAGTGGGAAAACACATGTGAACAAGCTGCCAGATGAGACTTCTGGTAGTGAATAGTAAATCTCTACCACTGATGAAACAGATCTCTACATATGAAGATGGTAAACACCATCAGTAGGACTTAAGGGTTAATAAATAGAAATCATAATACATGAAAAAAAACAAAATGTATTTTTGATTAAATAACTGCGATAAATAAAAAATTACTGCATTATTAGATTCTTTCATGAAATATTTTGCACAATTTATATCCAAATTATATATTTTTTTTAAACTGATAGAATATGTCTCCATTAAGATGTCATTCCAGGCTTCCTCTATTGTAAAATAAGAATATATGCTCATTAGTTTTTGAAGACATAAAATTTCATTTATAGTTAAATTTAAGTCACTGAAATCAATCAATTTTTAGTTCTGTTAGATAATAAGATCCTCAAGAACATGAAAAGATTATGGATCCTTTCATCATATTATTCTTAAAAATGTGTTCTGATATTTTGTTCAGCTGAAAATAAATTATGAAAACATTTTCGTCCACACTCATAAAAGTAAAGCTCTTAATTGTGTAACATATATTAAAAATGGAGGACACATTTTGGAGATATTTTTTCCTTGAGTACCGTATTTGATGGCATATAAGAAGCACCCTTATTTAGACAACCACACACAAGGAAAAAAAGTTTCAATAGCATGGTTTCTTTTAGTTCTCACGTTCCGTAAAAGCCAAATAAACAATTATTGAATGCAATTACCTTCACGTATAAGACGCAGGTAACTTTTTTGATACCAAATTTAGGAAAAAATGTGCATCTTATATACCATCAAATACGTATATCAATATTCTTCGCAACAATGTTGTGAAGATAACCTTAAAGGCATATATTCTTTCTCTAGAATCAGTATACCATATTTAAACTACTGCTCAGTTAAAATATCTTTTGTTGGATCCAGAATCGTAGCTAGGATTTTCAGCGCCCAGGGTCAGCTGAAGATTTCACGGTCTTTCCTGTTTGCTAAGAATGGAAAATATTTAATTCTAAAATTTCATAACATCAGTTTTGCCCACGCTGGATGCTGTGCCCAGAGACAGATTCTCCCCCTCTAGCTATGCCTCTGGTTGGATCATATAATTATATATTTTTGACAGATTGGTAGTGATAAGCACAATGGATAAAATTAACTTTCAATTGGTGATTTTGGTATGACAATCTTATTTGTTTTATAATATATTGCAACATACTCATCAAAAAGATAATTTTACTTATATCAGGTTGGTGTTATTAATCTATCAAAATGATATAATTAGGTGCTGATATGGATGTGCTCATGGAAAATCAAATAATGATACATGATATCAAGCCAAATTTTAATAGGAAAGATACTTGTTCCATTGATGAAGTTTAAAATATTTAACAACTCTACAGAGCAGTTAAACACTACCGACTGACATCATTTCAAAAACATAATAAGGAATTAAATCAAAATCATAAACCAAAATTTCTCGAAATTTTTAATCAATATAGCACCCTATTAAATTAAACGTAAAAATTAACTCTTTAATTATTAATGCAGAGTGAACAGTGCAATTGGCAAGAAACAACATGCATTGGTAAAAAGGAGAACTGAAGAACTCCAAACTACAATGCACAAGCAATCAAATTATCTGTAAATGGAAAATAGTTAACCTATTCTAGAATGTAAAAGAAACAAGACTAATAAAACATGCAAGTAAGTCGTGCATACATTGTATATTTAGACTGAAATTTAAGGCTGAAAATAAAAATTGCACAGTACCTTCTAAAAAATGCAGAATATAAATTGTACCGATCATTAAGTACGACACTTTTCATTCGATAAATCGCATGTTGAACATCAGTAAATTATTCTTCTAAGAAAATTAATCCTTAAAGGACTTCATATCTTCAACAAATGAAAAAAAAAAAAAAAAAATTAATAAAAAAAGAACAAGTGATAAGAACACAGATCTTCTCTATCCTGAGAATAAGAAATAAAAATGAAATTGATATAGAACACCTGAAAAAATACGGGAACTAATGGGCCAGACCATGAACACGTTGATATACACAGATGATTGACAGACGATATATTTTCATTTTTATATAACAAGCTTGGCTTAATCTATTTACAAGCCGGTTACACAGAATCGTTTAATGAGAAGCAACGAAAATATAGAAAACAACTAACTTGTCAAATTATTATGGTAATAGGTAATACAATCCATACACCCCTACACTGAAATGTCACATTTTCTGATGCCAGATGGTGAAATCAAACACTTTTGGCGCATATCTGCAATATGTATTTCCACCGTGTATGTTTCGTAATCGATTTTTCATTGCCCACTAATACTACAAAAATTACAACATTTTTTAAAGAAGCAAATAATATCTTAAATAAGGGTAAAATTAGCGTATTTCTACTCTGGTATCCTTTGAAACGCCATATTTTCAAATAAAAGCACCTCACATTTTTCTTTTGAATTCGTTTCCTCAGATAGCTCCGGTTTGAAAGGGGTTTTGCAGAGGCATTCCAAGCGGAAAAAATAACCATTAAATAAAATAAGCACATGCTTACAGTACCAATACTAGACCGTTGACCGTCTACGTATAAATTAAAATTAGCCGCCCTTCTTTAGATAAATATAATATTTTTGGTAGTCATTTTCCAGCCCGCATGCTGCGCAACATCTTGTCCTCCCTGCTACTAGGATCAGCCAAAGCCATCTAGATATCTAGTTGGCCTTGGATCTAGATATCTATTTAGCCTTGGACTAACTCAAGGAGGTTAGAATAGGTTAGGTTTATTCTAACCTCCTTGGACTAACTAGATATCCAGTTGGCCTTGGACCAACTAGGTATTTAGTTGGCCTTGGATCAGCCCTGCGGGCTTAAATCAAACTAATAGGGAACTACAAAAAGGGGATTAGGGACCCAAGTAGAGAGGGCAATACAAAAATGTTCTATTGCCGGTTTAGCTAAACCACACACACACAGAGATCGTATTTTATTCTCGAGTGTCAAGATGCAGAAACATCTTTTTACTCGACTTCTAGAACGAAAGAGAAGGAGTAAGAAGCACCAAAATCTTTTAGATAATTAAAATTTATAAAATTCTTCATTATGCCTTGGAGGAACCTTACAATAAACAAAGAGCATTGAATGACGCGTAGATATTTTTTTTTTATCAAGATAAACAATGTTGACCTTCTGACCATGATTTAATATGATGTAATTACAATTCTCTTCCTTTCATAGGAGGTGACTGTGGCCGCCTATAAAGGCCCGTCTACACGTAACGATTTTCTCGGGCGACTTTCTCGTAGAGAAACAATTTTAAGGATCTGCGCATGCGCCAAAAATCGGTCATGTTCTCTGCCGCGATTTCAGAACTGGTGTTCACTACCCACTAACGTACATCAAGGATCAAGGATCAAGGAAGTTAATTTACGGAGTGCGCTAGGCTAGGCCTTTAACTCCACATCATCAGAGATAAAATAATTACATCAAAAGAGAGGTTCATCTAATAAGGGAAAATTTTGAAGCCTAATTATAAAAATAAAAGCTTTTCAGATAATGCCTTCCTCATGAGAAAAAAGGAAAACTCTTAGAAAGTCTTTAAATTAAATTTCGTGTCTAAAAAGGGCCAGGAATAAATTTTGAGAGAGGAGTCAACATTCAAAAAGTTTTGAAAAGAATAAAAAGGTGCAATACATTTCCTTGATTCTTGATATCAACAGCAAAAAAAATCCTTAGGACAAGCAATCCGGAGAGTTGGGCAAAAAGGGCGGGGGCGAAACCCGTTGGGCGGGTTCTAGTAGCAGTTCAGTGTGATACAGCTGATGGAGGAAAAGAAAATTTTTGGTCGCTATTTAGTGCGACGTTAAAAGGTCCCCTTAGGGAGTCGAAAGAAAACCGTTTAGCGGGTGGAAAAGAAGCTTTTAAGAAGCTATTGAGAAATTAAGTGCAGTCGCGTGCGGCTGCGGAGATAAGTTGTCCCTTGTTAAAGAAACGTTAGAAGACTCTTCTTAAAGAGTTAAAGAACAGGGTTCCCCCGGTCAATGCCCTTACGCATTGTTAACGCGGGGGCGGTTGGGGTTTAGGAACGAGAGGAAAGCATCCACTTGGGCGTCTGTATTCCAATACCGACGCCGTTTAAAAGGTAGTTGAGCATAATCAGCTTGTAAGATTGCTCTGGGTCGCTTTTTAGAAGAGGCAACCGCAGGATCATATAACGGCAGGGTATGTAATACTGGATTTCCAACAAGATGGATGTTTTTGAAAAATCTTTCCGAAAGTCGCTGTATAAAGCGATTAATGGGCATAATTTTGAGGTCGTTATGAATGTCATCGTTCCTTATGAACCATGGAGCGTTTAATATCTGCCGTAAAAATTTTGATTGAAAAATTTGGACGTGTTTACGGTTAGTCAGAGCAGCTGAGCCCCAGATGGGACTCGCGTAAGTGAGAATAGGCCTTATGATAGATTTATAAAGCAAGATCTTGTTATCAAGTGACAGGTCGCTATTTTTAGCGAAAAAGGGGCGCAGGTTGGCTTTGACAGCTCTCGCATTCGCAATAATTTTTTGAATGTGAAGTTGCCAAGTTAATTTTGAGTCTAGTAAAACACCAAGGTATTTGTAAGCAGTAACCCAGGGAATAGGTTCACCGAAGAAAATTAGATTATCTAAACGAGGGATGTTTCTTCGGATGAATAAAGTGGCAGCACATTTAGCGACATTAATTTTGATTTTATACAGTCCGAGCCAGAGTTCTAAGGCTGAAAGGTAACTCTGTAATGTAGAGATTACCGTGGTGATGTTGGTATGTTGAGTTAGGATGGCCGTATCGTCTGCATATAAAGCTAAATCGATACTAGGTGCCTTAGGCACGTCGTTGATATAGATATTGAAGAGCAGAGGTGAGACAAGACTGCCCTGAGGACATCCAGCATGGATCGGGCGGGGAGAGGAGAGTTCGTGGTTAACTCGTACGCGGAAGCTTCGTCCGGCTAAGTACGAGCTAATAATTTTAATGATGTGAGCCGGAAACCCAAGTCGCATGAGCTTGTAAATAAGTCCGTCATGCCAAACCCTGTCAAAGGCTTTAGCTATGTCAAGATAGACAATTCCAGTATTCTCTCGCTTACGAAAGCCTTCATGAATGAATTCCACTACACGTAGTAACTGGTGTACCGTGGAGTGTTTAGGTCGGAAGCCGAATTGTTCCGGGATGATTAAGTTTTGATCTCGACAGAATTCATTCAGGCGATTAAGTAAGACATATTCATATACTTTTGAGAGTGAGGAAAGCAGACTAATTGGTCTGTAGTTGACGGGTAAGTTTAGATTTTGCCCCGGTTTTGGAATGGGGACGACCGTTGCAATTTTCCAGCGGTCGGGGAAGTAGCTTCTCCTTAGCATAAAATTAATAAGGACCGTAATCCAAACAATAAACATTACAGGGAAATTTTTAATCATGCGATTAGAGATAGAATCCATGCCTGGAGCCTTGTTGGGTTTCAGTCTATTGATGTATTCCATCACCTCTTTAGGATCAGTGGGCCTAAGTTCAGGCGTGAAAGGTTTGTGTTAAAAACTCTTCAACACGTGAATGTATGCGCCCTTGAGTAACCGGGCGGTTACAGTAGGCGTCGTTATTAGGAGTGAATTGAGTAGCAAGGCTGTCGGCTAAGACTTCTGCCTTTTCAGTGTCTGTGTAAGCCATCCGTGCGTCATCGGCCGTTTGGAGCGGCGGAATGTGTCTGGATTGTTTGCGTATTCGAGCGGCAGCCCGCCAAATCGAATTGTCTTCAGTCGTTAGGGACTCAATGTAGTGTTTCCACTCCGTCTGTTTGAAGAGACGGGTTTCAGTCCTTATCTCGTTCTGTATTTTGCGAAATTGGGCGCGGATACTGGGATCACGCGACCTTTGCCAAAGTTTTCGCAAAAAGTTCCGCTGCTTAATTTTGGATTTAGTCTCAGGTGGGAGTCTGACACCCGGATAGAAAATTGGTTTTGAAGCCGCAGCTCTCGCTTCTTTGAGAATGGACTCCAAATTTAGTAAACACCTGTCAAAATCCGAATTGCTGGTAATTTTGATAGGGAGTAGCAGTACGTTCCAAAATAAATCTAAAATCGTCCCAATTTGTAGAGATTTACCCCTGTAATTTTGAGTAACGATTTTGGATATCTAGGGTGATCAAAACTGGATAGTGATCAGAGTCAAGGTCTTGAATCACTTTTATTTCGTGTCTAAAATTGACATTATAAAAGGCAGCCAGATCAAGAACTGCAGGGGACCCTCTAACAGGGTAGTAAGTGGGGAGGGTAGGAGCTATGATCTGTATATGGTTTCTCTGCACCATACCTGTTCCTGTTAGGGCAAAACCATGCGGTATGACGTGAATTTAGGTCACCAGCAATAATTAGATGATTTGATAATGATAAAAGTTTATCAAAATCACTGACAGGAAAAGTACCTCTTCCACGTGCAGTTGATAATGGAGGCAGGTACTCCGAGATGACTGTTAGCGGGGGAGAATTTTGGAGGAAAATTTTGATAATTGTCGCTTCCAAAATACTTAAATCAGGAGGGGGTATCATGTGATGCTTAATCGAACGCTTCACGTAGATACAGGTGCCACCACTTGCACGCCTGGCTAATGACACCCTGTCAGTCGAGTACATGTCATAATTCCCAATTTTGGGAGTTCTCCCTGGGGTAAGATGAGTCTCTTGGACTAATAACACGTCAAGATCGTGCACTACAATAAAATCTTTGACCTCATCGATCTTATTGATGAGGCCGTTTGCATTCCATGTGCACATGGTAAGTTCTCTGTTGGTAATTGAACTTTGTCTTAAACAGTTGAATTTAAGGCCGTGGTAAAAGGTTACAGCTCTGAAAAACTTAAGACACGGGTCTAAAATAGCCTAGAAATCCTAATTTGAAAGCATAATATAGCTTTCATAAATTAGGAAGGCCCTCGTAAGAGAGCGTCTTCCTGCCTAAGCGCTTTGGCAGGGCCCTTTGGAAGGCTTGTAGTAGAATATGCCTATCTACCGCAGGATCACGGGAGATTTCAATTAGGCATTTTAAAGTAGAGGAGAAAACATCTGTCTCTAGCCAATAAGATTGCTTTGAGTTA